TACTTTATCTATCCTAGGGGAAAATTAGGTCGTTACACTTGAAAATGCAAGTTTTAGTGGAAGGAATGGAACTAGAATAAAAAAGAAATTACAATATTGATTACAAAGTGCAAAATATTACAAATAAAGCTGTTTACAAAGCACACAGCATTTTAGCAATAAGCTATGTACAAGCACAGAGAGTAGGGCATCTGTACACAAGACCAGTTTGCAGCATGGAGCTGTAGGATATTGCACAGTATAATAATAGTTCTACAGTATAATATCGTGTTCATAAACCATGTTAAGCAATACTCTGGCTAACAAACAAAACATTTCTGCATTTTTTGTTAAACACATTTATGATGCAACCTCAATCACCACTGACTTTAACTATCTGCTGACACCTGAACCTGTATGGAACAATAGGGCAGCACATGTCCCCGTCAATCACAGTTAAAACAGACAAACAATTCAGGAGGTGCGACACTTGGCGCAACATATGACATTATTAGCATATGATTATTATTATATAATTGTAATTTGGGATGAAGAGTGACCTCTGTAATGAAAATGGCATCTTTACTTTTTATATAAGTATACATATTTTGTTTATTTATTTTTTTGTTGAATGTAAGTTTACCTACTTTCCACAGCCTTTTTACTCATCTTACTCCATCAGAGCTCGGCCCTAAAACCATAAAAATCCTGTTTTACAAGGTAACTTCCTCTTTACATCCTCCTTTATTTCAAACATGGCATGGCAGGATTGGGTCTTGAACCAGGGTCATATTAGTGTCATCAAAATGTAAGCAGTGAGTTTTTTTGTTATGGCATTGTCATGATAACAGGGTAACTCACGCTACAATTACCTAACATGTTTCTCCCTGAAAAGTCAGTTTCATACATATAACTCTTTAAAGCTCCTTAAATGCTTGAAGCTTTGTGGGCTGGCAGAGGCCTGAATTTTACACTCTTCACACCACTAGACTTACTGTAACTTACTGGTCCTACATGAAATCCTGAGATCGATAAAGCTTTGTAGAATGTTTCCTCTGAGAACCATAAATTTCTGTGCCTAATAGCACATCATCACCGGTGGATATTTCACTCTGAGCCAAAGTGTTGGACCATCTAAAGGATAGATGACCTAACTACTACGTTTGGAGCTACAACACAAGGGTATTGTGGGTATAAATCAATTTTCAGATAAATGTCACGCAGTGTCCACTGGGTAATTTACGGATTTAGAACAAACTGACATTATGAATTGACACATTAAATTAACAATCTATTTGTTTTTGGTGATGTTTTTATTAAATGTCTGGTCTAAATGTGAACAACATCAATCACTGTATACGTGGCAATTAGAGACATCACTATCTATAACGAGAAGATAGGAGAGAAAGCAATCACAGCCCCAGTGCTTGTCTGACAGAAATCAGTATGTTATTCCATAGTGAACGTCTGATTAAACCCTAATCTCTACATCAAACATACAACTGAAACAGGTTTATGGTAATTTACTATTGATTATGTATGAAAGTCTGAAGGGTTTCCATGGCGGGCTTAGCTGGTGGGCTCAATAATTCAACAGCCACTCGAATATCTTTGGAGTGCAGGATGATGGAAAAGTAAAGACACATTGAGACGCCAGGATCAGGTGGATCTCCTTGTTGGTATCGTAGGCAGCCACTCTGTTTGTCCAAGTCAGCTCCCTTCAAATGGATGAGGGAGTCAGGCAGGTAATGACTAGGTGGGTGTTTCAGGAGCCTGAGTGAGTGAAGTGTGATCTGGTCCTAGACAACTGGAAGAATGCTGTCCACATGGGAGCCCAGGAGAGGATGTGATAATACTGATGGCATGGAGAGACTTTCGGAAAATTCTAAACACACACCATATGCAGGCTCCCGACTGTTTATCAGATCATGACATGTGCATGAGAAATACCTCCTGGTTGTGGATTTAATATTAACACAGAACAGCCAATCCCTGATTCATGTGAACCCCAACAGGACTTTGAGCTGCCAAGTGTCTGAAGGTAACAACACAACATAAAGGAATATAGTTTACTTTATTAAACACAAGTAAACCTGCAAAACCTGAAACTTTAAAACCATATTGCTTGTTCACAAACAGAAGAAGCTCAACAATCAGAAAGACAAAACCACCTGTTGTATGTTGTTTTCTGTATACTGAGTCCAGATGCCTGGGGTTGTGCTAAGCTGCTTTTACACTCCAAACGCATTTCCAGTAAGAAATGACGCACTATGTCAAATGGAGCTGGGATGCGACGCTGACAGAATGCATGCAACACACATCCTCTGGGTTTTTCAGCTTTAGATTTCATTTACTATGTAGCCTATTAAATTTGGAAACCAGAAAGAAAAAGTAGATAGCTTGCTATGTGCTTCCTCTTTTTTTCCCTTGGTCCCACAATTTGAAACCGAAACTAGAAACTAATAAGCTACCTTCTTAATAAAACAGATAGCCTTTAAGAACACTAGCCACTTTTTGGGTTGTTGTACAAAAAGCCTCTTTATGACAAGGATTCTTTAAACCAAGACTACCTTTTCCTTGCTGCAACCCCAGTTTTGAGGTTCTACAGCGATAAACAGACACACAAAGGTGCTGCAGGCTTATGCTGCAATATATTTGTTTGTTTGCCATTTTGGGAAGGAAAGGTATGCCGCATGAACAAACTTTTGGTTTTTCTGAGTAAAAAACACTAACATTCATGTTTATCTAATGAAGCGTTTTTGTTCAACAGTTGACATTCATTAAATTACTAAAATGGCAATCCTTCCTACAAAATTGAACAGGATAAAAAAGTAAGACACTGCTCCACTATTTTCTTTGTGGTTGTTTGTTTGTTTGTTTGTTTGTTTGTTTTTCCCCAAAAATTGACAGATTAAATTTCCAACACTGACTCTGTTTACATAAATGAAGAGAACAACAGCTATGTAAAGTTATGATTACTGGAGTTACCCCTAATGCCGTTTAAGTCTTAAAGCTGTGTCATTTGCGATAACAAATGAAACGTGGGTCAAACTGGAAAAATCTAAATACACATCAGTTTTTGTTTTATTTATTTTTTTGTTTCATTAGGAAATCATGACAGCACTTAAATATCATGTGAGGTACCAGACATTTGTTATTTAAATTAAATAAGAGATACTCTCACACAGGTGAACATGCAACACTATAGATGTACTACAACATATACTAACAGACTCCAGAAACCCAAAACAAAAAACAATATCTGAAGACCTGGACTTGCATATTTACCCTTTTCACCGCAATAGGTAAAACGATTAGTCCGTCTGTTATTTTTGACCCTCAATTAAATTAGTTTTTAAAGGTTTTTTTCTCCTCTTCAGAACAACTGCTTCATATTGGATTTAATATAGCATCCAGCTAATATGTGTCCTCTACCAAAATAAAAGCACTTTAGACTGCTTCCCTGTTCAGTAATTACATACCAGTTCACAGTCGGCTGTTTCCTAGACTGAACATTTATATGAAAAATTGCTTTCCAACAGATGAATTATTACTTTCATATTGGTGGTACTTATTTCAAAATTTGCTTCCCCTGACTGAACTGCTCCCCTTATTGGGTTTCAATAGAGAATTAACAGGTGGACCACTTATTTTAGGAGTACTGCATTATTCATCCAAGCAGTTTTATTTTTGCCTTTGAAAACTTAAGTGTGCAGACCCAATTCTTATGAGATTACAATCATATTTCTGATTGATCATTGAGATTTTTGGACTCATTGTTCTCCACCCTGATATTTTGGGGCCTCCAAACACACTAACGAGTAAAAGTCCATCCCTCTTATGGTCATGTGTACTGTATGTGTGAGTGCATGTGCTCCAAAAAGAAAATAAGTCCCGTGTTAAAAGAGAGAGGTGTACCCCCATATCTATTTCTGCTGCTCTGATCTCACACTGGTAACTCATAGCTTTTTTACGTCTACAGCAATCAGAATCACTTATACATCCCTATGTAATTTGAGTCATGAGCTTCTGGTGCTTTGCCAATTTGACATTTAACCCGACACTTTCATTCACAGCAAAGTCTTCACATTTATGCTTTGATATCGACATTCTTCACAGATACAGTAAACAACATCAGCACCTGTATATGGTCCTCTTCCTCACAACTTTCCTGTTGGCATTTTTCTTTTTCTCGAACAGCCTTGTAACACCGTCAAAGCTCATAGGAGGTCATGGTCTGTGGTGGCTTTGTTTTCTTCAAGTTGGTCGATGCTTTTACTACTCAGCTTCTGAGGTGTTGTAACATGCCTTGTGATCTTCTGTGTTGTTATATTTAATATAGGCTTTGCCCTCGAAGGCTAACACTAATAACTTAAGTCCATGCCCACCTGTGTGATGGGCCTGACTCAGTCTCATCCTGCCAATAGATCTCTAGGAGACCGTATAATCGGCTCCCATTTTTTTCTCGAATGTTTTGATGCAGCACGAGAAGACTCAGAAAACTGAGCAAGACAGACCAAAACTTGAATGCCAATATGTCAGCTGAAAACAGGTATATGTGATTGAACCACGCCTCTTTGATCGCATGTGATCAAGGTGGTCTTAGACAGCCTGATAAGCCCTGACGCTCTGTTTGGCCCGCATCCTAGTTGATGGTAGATCAAATGCAGAAATCAGCAGAAGAGAATGAGACAATCAGGAGGCTCATAACTCTATAGCTGCGTTTCCGTTACCCATAGATTCGCGCAAAACCTAAATATCGCAATAGAAAACTGGTAATGGAAACACCTACATTTCGGAAAACCTCCCAAATATTGCTGAAAAGTTTTTACGCTCTCATGAGGTGGTTTTTTAGACGTGTCGATATAGAAGTATATCGCAATTCTACTTCACCAGACGTGACGTAGCGCGTCATGTGACCAGTTCATTTTAAGCAAGGATGGCGCAGTATGTGTGGACGGAGGAGGAGACGCAGTTATTTCTAAACATAATAAAAGAGAAAAATATAACCGCTATCCTTGATAGCAAACAACAGCAAAATGCAGAGTTGTACAAGGAGCTAGAAGGGGAAATGAGGGAGAAGGGCTTTGAAAAGCCGTGGCAAATCCTCCGCAGCAAGTGGAAAATGCTGAAACAACGCTACCTGGCTGAAAGACGGATCCAGAGCAAAAGTGGAGCCGGGGGGAAGATTACAATAAAGTTCAAATTCTTCGATGCCATGGACAGCATTTTGGGTCATCGACCCATCGTGCAAGCAATGTCGTCAGTCATAAACAGCATGGGTAAGTCCCAACGTTTTTATACGGCATGACAAAGTTAGCAAACGTGCTAAAATAAGCGTATGTGCTAACGCTAGGTTTACTTGGGGTTATGATACCTTATCTTTCGCCGTTAATCTATTTTCAAAGTTGGGTCTGGGAACTGGGTCTATACGGACCTTCTCCGGAGTTCTCCAAAATACTACAAAAAACAAAACAATAATGCAGAAAGCAGACCAAGAATTAGGATAACATCTGATTTTAGTTGATAAGTGCCAAAATGCTTGAGTGCTTAAGTGCTTGGGAGCAAAGAATGTAATGCTCATGTAACATGTCATGTTATGGTATGTCTTTTTGCACATACAAAGTGTGTGTGTGTGTGTGTGTGTGTGTGTGTGTGTGTGTGTGTGTGTGTGTAGGTATTATTATACTAAAATAAGCATACATAAGTATATTTATGTACACATACTTATGTATACATACAATAGGGCTACTCATCACAATCTAGTTACAGCTCCACTACTTCCTGAAATTTGGCCAAATTTCAGGAAGTAGTGGAGCTGTGCAACTAGTCTATTGTTGGCCTAATTTGGATGATGTTGTAGTACTACATATTTACTTATGTATTCCATTATGTATTATTAGATGCCGAGGCGAATGCCGACACGGAGGAACCGATTCGGGAGACTTCCACAGACTCGGAGGGTAGGTCAAGAATTTGATATCTTTTAAAGTCACACATTACTGTTTGGCTGACTGATGAAATTAGTGTTCGATCTAAAAAGAAATTTGACAGAAACCAAATGTTGACAGTTAATAATTGTAACTACTTGTTTGCTACAAAACTGAATAAACATCCAAGACAACTGATGTAAAAACTCTTAAGACTTTTGCACAGTACTGTGGATATATTATCTTAATATAAAGTATATTATTCCTTCTTCCTGTTACTATAGCATCATTTGATGTCTTGCCCATGTCGTCCGATGGCTCTGAAGTGCCTGATGTTCCAGAGGTGGGAGAGTCATCTCAAGCTCAACCCCCGATTGCACCTCAAGAGGCATGGAGACGGCCAAAGAAGCGCAGAGCTTCAACTTCATCTGTGCACATGAGCATGATCAGGGAGCAAGCAGAACAAGATCAGGCCAGCCTAACTGCGATCACTGATGTGCTGAATCGAGTAGTTAACTGTTTTGAGAGAGCTACAGCGGCGGCAGAGCGCCATGCTCGTTCTCTAGAAGTGTTGGCTGAAGCTCGGCTCCCTTTCCCCCAGCAACCACCTGCAGTATCCATTCCCTACCTCCAAGAGCAGCAGCCTCTGGTGTACCACCATCAACCAACTACTTCATACCAGCAGCAGCAGCCTCCTCCTACCTCCTACCATCACCAGCAGCAGCAACAGCCTCCCTCTCCCTCTTCACCTGAAAATCCCTGCTCTTACAATACATACCATAGTTTGTAGGTGATATACAAGCAAACACATGTTGCCATTTCAGCACCTTAATGTTGTTATTGTTGTACAGGTTCACAGATTGACAGTTCATTGCACTAATGTATGTTTACTGAGATTTTCTTTAATGGACAGTTTATACTGAAAAGTGTCCATTTTTTGTGTAATGGCAGCTTAAACATGGTGCCATCTGAAAACACTTACATGTGTGCGTACAACCGGTGTCCGCATGTTTGATAAATACAGATTTTTTTGTACTCACCCACATTCTAAATTTCATTCAGACCTTTTCTATGCACGGTTGATAAATAAGGCCCCTGGTGAGGTCCAACACAGGAGCCGCCACTTAGGCAGTGCAGAAGACAAGGATATCTTAATGGGGATATGTACAGCACAGAGATGGTCATTTCCAGCACTCCTGCACCTGCTCAAACTGCACTCTCTCCTTCCAAGAGGTAGGGAAACCTGCTAGAGCAGCGTTTCTCAAACTTATTTCAGTCACGGCACCTTTCAAAAGTGCATTAAATCTCAGGGCACACTAGTTTAAAATATAATTAAAAACAACACAGCATAGCCTAAATGTAATATGTCCTATTTATTTTGGCAGGGCAGTTTTAATGAACAGAGCATGATACAAAGTGAAAATGTATAAGAGATAAGCAGGAATGTTTCCGTCCATCTATAGAGCTGCTTTCTATCTGTGCCACTGTAACCTGCCCTACACATACGCGCATGCACACACACCCACACCAGCACGACACCTCTCCCCTCACAATGAGAGAGGAAGAGAGATAGACCTACATGCATTGAGCATCTACTACCATCTAGCATCTACCTTTGCAGCCTTTAGTGCAGACTCAGCTGGTGGACGAAGGCTTGCACAAGTAGTAGGCTGAGGCTCCGTTTCACAATCAATGGTGTTCGGTTCATGTGGGGCTTTTGTTTTTAGAAAATAATCCATGATACTGTTGCTTGTTCCTTGCTCTTTGTGAAATCAAATGTATTTTGGCAGTTAAATGATGGTAAAAGGATGTGCTCCTTAGTCATACCTTGTGCTGACCTGTTGTGACACAATATTGACAATGGGCACTTGAGACAGATTTTTGATGATCAGTTTTTATTAAAATTATTCAACTTATTTATTTGTTGTTACATATATGTAAAAATAATGTATATATGTCGTCACTCATATATTTATATATAAAATGTCAGAATAGGACATTTCTTGATGGCACCCGTGACGCAGTCAGACGCAGTCAGTCTTGTGTGCTCCACAAGGCCACAAATGGTACACTGCAGTGAATAATAAGACCCAATGTGTACTCCCACATGCATGACCTTGAAGTAAAATATCTAAGTGACCTATGGTTAATGCAGATACAAAATGAAACAGAGGTGAAACTCAAACTATGTTTATTATTTAACCTTAACACACTTAGGGTGTAACCACACTGAAGACGCGTTATTTGTCCCCAGCCTGGAACAGACGACGTAAGGCCACTTTACAAAAGACACCTCAAGCTGGATATTGAGTTAAAGCAGCTGCTCATCAAGAAGACCAAGCTTGAGGTGGAGAAACTGCTCGAAGAAAAGAAGGTAATATTTGGTGGAGAGCTGCCACATCACAACTTGAAATGTACTCCAACGAAAATTTTCCTCTCCATTCCATGAACGAGACAGAAGGGGCCTGAATGATTAATTAAGAATGTCAACAAATGTCATTAATACAAAAAAAAAAGGAAGTCAAAGGTCTCTGTCTCCTCTCTTTCTCAACCAAAAGTACCAAATCATGTGAAAGATTGTTCTGTTAAAGCCCACCGCACAGCCCTGCCAGTGGGACGGTCTAAGGTGATACGACATCTGGGGGGAGTGGGACAGCAGGTGGGACCCTCTCTTTCCGAATGGCGGCGATGTTGTACAGCACAGGATGTAATCCTGCAGGCCTGGCGTGGGGTCACCCTCAGGTCGTGCGGGCAGCTGAAGCGAGCCTTCAGGATGCCAAAGGTCATCTCTATCCTGACCGTGGTGCGGGAGAGAGCCACATTGAATTGTGTTTGTGGCCCTGCACCAGGGTCAGGATAGGGGGGTCATGAGGTAGGGCAGGGAGGGATAGCCTCGGTCCCCAAGCAGCACTCCATGGAGAATTCCTGTGAATGAAGGGAGATGTCATGGTCAGTGTCACAGGGAGTCTGATGTACATCAAAACACGATGTGCATAGCGCAAGAGCCACACCCCGCTCCAATGTTCGGCAGAGCCTTGACTCCCAGAAGATCCAAGAGTCATGAACCGAGCCGGGCCACTTTGCATCCAGGCTGGTGATCACACAGTTTTGATCGCAGGTCATCTGCAACAGCAAAAAGAACTATAATATGACAGCAGCAGATGAAAGGCAGCAATGTGCTTTTGCCTTCCCTTGATAAAGCTTTGACACTCTCTTTCCTGTGAGTAGCGATGCAAAAGACATTTCAGTAGTTAGTGTCCATGCAGACACTTAGCTGGTGTGACTGAACAATGAGTCTTAAAATATCAATCGGTGCAAACCTCACAGGCACAGGGGAGATTTTTGGGGATTCTGCATGTGTGTGTGTGTCTCAATGTGCAGATGGCATGTATATCATATGCAAGTTACTTGAATGTTAAGGGTTTTGGTATGACCTGCGATTGATATAGTTGCCCTCATTTTGCCGCAAAGGCCCAGTGATGCGCATGTGAGTGCAGTCGATGGCACCTATGACCCTTGGGAATCCTGTGACAGGAGCTGACTTCATTTAATACAACAGTGTACATGCCACAGAGAGTATCTCGCAATGTATGAATGGATGCACTGTGGTGAAGCGCTTTGAGTGAGCAGCAATATATGATTGTGATCCATTATTTATAAAACTGAATCTGATGAGGCAACATGCGAAACATGTGCTTGCCCTGTTTTAACACTTCACTGTAATCCATTATTGGATTAAATTTATAGTTCCATTGATCAGACTTACCTGCAATGGTGTAAAAGCCTTCTTTGATTTCCTGGATGGGCAAGTGGACTGGGAATTCCACAAACCTATCCAGGAGCTCGGTGAGGGCTGCGGACACCCTCTGGATGGCGCCACACACCGTAGCTTTGCTTAAATTTTCTGTGTCGCCAACTGTATATAGATATGTACCTGACGCACAAAAGTGAAGGGCGATACACACACTCTGCGGGACCGTTAGCGCACAGCTTCTACGAGTGTCGCGAGCCACGTATGGCTCTAAAAGCTGGCAGATGTACACCAACCCCTTCCTGGAACACCGGTACCTTTCATAAAGGTGGTCATCCGCAAAAGTTAGTGGGTCAGTGGGTCATTTGTTAAGCCCCACCCGAAGGCGTTATTGAATTTCTTGGTTTTGCTGTGCCCAGCTGTAGTCCGTGGAGCTCCCCCTCTTTACTGGTCCCCAAATCCAACCAAACTCCACAGTTCTGTACAGATTACCGTAAAGTGAATGCCATCACCCAGCCCGATTCCTTTCCCTTGCCCCGTATGGATGACTGTGTGGATCGTGCGGGGTCAGCTAAGTATGTAATGAATTTAGACCTTCTTAAAGGGTATTGGCAGGTGCCCTTTACAGAACGTGCATCCGACATCTCTGCTTTTGTCACCCCTGATCACTTTCTGCAGTACAAGGTGATGCCTTTTGAGTTGAGAAATATCAATATAGTTGATATTGTCTGTTACTCCTCCACCTGGCCCAAGCATGTTAACATCCTAGGAGAAGTGTTCAGAAGGTTAGAAACTGCCTCACTCACATTGAACTTAGCCAAGTGTGAATTTGGAAAAGCTGTGGTCACCTACTTGGGTAAGCAGGTAGTACAGGGAAAAGTGCGCCCCCTGTCAGCCAAAGTCCAGGCCATCTTAGACTTTCCTGTGCCAGAAACACGTTGGCAACTACGGCGGTTTCTGGGCATGTGTGGATACTACAGAGACTTCTGTAGGAACTTTGCCAGTATTGTTGCACCCCTCACAAGCTTAGTTAGCCCTGCTGTGAAGTTCGAGTGGACTGACATGTGCCAGTGCCAGAGGTAGATGCCAGTGCTTATGGTGCAGGCGCGGTCCTTTTGCAGGAAGATGATCAAGGCATCAATCATCCTGTGTGCTACTTCTCTAAGACATTCAATAAACATCAGCTTAAGTACAGCACCATAGAAAAGGAATCCCTCGCCTTACTGTTTGCTTTACAGCATTTTGAAGTTTATGTTGGTTCCAGTCCAGTTCCGGTTATCGTTTATTCTGGCCATAACACCCTTGTGTGTTTGTCTGGCATGCGCAACCACAACCAGCGCCTTATGCGTTGGTCCTTACTGTTACAGGACTACAATATTGAGATCCGCCACATTAAAGGGGCAGATAATCTAGTGGCTGATGCATTGTCTCGGGTAGGTTGTTGAGGTGTGGCTCGTGTTGTGTTTAGGGTGCTGTTGTAATTTTGAAGTTTCGGGGATTCAAACCTTTATTTAGTGAGAATAAATGTTTGATCTTAGGTAGGGGGTTGCTATGACCAGGGGTTATATGTTTCCTGTTGTTTTTTACATCAGCACATTTTTTTTTTTTTGTGGTTAACCCTCCCTACCTGTGGTAGGTGCTGTTCCTCTGTCTCTTCTGTTTTCCAGGAGAGGACTGTGGCCTGATTGGACAGCAGCTGAAGAGGGGAGCTTTCTCTCTCATTCCTTTGTCTCGACTCCCAGCCAGACCTGTGTTTTGTGGAGGCTCATCTTGTTGTAGGATATTAAAGACTTAGTGAATTTTGATTTGTCTTTTAAGACAAATAGCTTTAGTTTACCTTAAGAGCAGTCTGGTAGGTAGGGGTGGGCAGCTATTTTATTTTACAACCTATTCTCGTGTTTTGGGTTAGAGAGGTAGGTAAGACCCCCTGTATTTTATTTGATACTATTTCTTTTTATTAGCAAAGATAGCTTTACTAAAAAGAGGTTTTGTTTGTTATTTTGGCCTGTGTCCACCCTGAAGTCGACTACCATTTATGTTGGAAAAATAAACCCATTTAAGACTGCATTTTCTGGTTGGTTGTTGGTTTTCTTGGGGATTTGGGACAAAGGAGGGAGCACTTTATGTTACATTCAGCATACCCCTGGGCTGGGTCGTAACAATTTCAAGCTTGAAATTATTTGTATCATGTCTGTCACCTCATTGATTCTTAGCATTTTTTAAGGATTAATGATTACTTATAAAAAGCTGGTGTGACTACTTTATCGAGCTTCAATTAACATCAAGGCTTTTTCTTTGGATTTGTGAGTTCACCTCAGCACATTTGATAAAGGTGCACTGAATTTCTTAAAGTGGTTCTTGTGTGTCCCTTTCCTGTACATTAAATCCTCCCACTTTCCCCTGATATGTATCATTCAACTAATGTACGACTAAATGCACAGCAAATTGTGCTCTGTGCTGAGTGAGATTAATGGCTGATTCTAATACATAATGTCATACACCAGTGTTCAGATGGGATGGACCATTAGGGCCTCTCCTTTCAGTTGATTAAATTCCTGTGCCCTCGGGATCTGTCCAAAGGACATGACTGCCCATAGATTTAGTGAATATTTAATTTTCCTACTGACCCGGAACATCTCAAGAATCTCTGCTCCCGTCTGTGATGTGCAGTCATGAAATGAAAGTCATTTCCTAAAATATGTAATTCAATTCAAACTGTATTTGAGTTTGACCTGTTTTTTTATGGACAAGATCATATTTAGCTCACCGTTTTTCAAGATATTTAATGCTTAATATTGTCACCTCAAGCCATTTACTCATAACAAATTAAATAAAGTGAGCATAAATACTAGAAACAAAATCACATGTACTCAAGCTTATTTAATGCAAAGTATGTGAATAAAACCTCCCATCTTTCACAGGTCTTAAGACACAAATGCCACAACAAGGCCTCACCTTTTTTAAGCTAAAAGTGCCTCACCTAAGACCTTATTTTTGGAGGCTGTCTCTCAGCAGACAATGCCTATGGTTTTGATTTAGTTCTTTAGTCTGGTAACATAACATGACATTTGCTTGAGGTGACAGTTTGTGATAAATGGGTTAAACACACAAGAGAGTTGAGTCATGGCACCATATACGTATATATATATATATATATATATATATATATACATATATATATATATATTTACCATATCTCTTTTGTCGATTAGAATATTGACAAGTAATTTTTAATTGTAATCGCTTTTGATTGATTTTGACTAAGCAAAACAAGACAAAGGCTAACTAATATATTTCTTTCAGTCAGAATACGCAGTAATATTTTAGCTGTGTGTATGAACACATAGTGGTCTCATTAAAAGTTTTGTCAGTATTCTCAGAAATACAACATGACACAAGTGCGTGTTGAGCGCAGCAGAAAGGAGATAGATCAGGCAATTTTTCAAAGAAATCAACTTTGCGCAAATGATGATGACAAACATGATGTGCAAATGTTCGGATACATTTTGGGTTATTATAGGTATGGCCTTTGTTGTTGTTGTTGAGAATGCGAAGCACAGACGGAGAGCTTCCTCTATATCCATATCCATATCTGTATGTAGTATTAAGCATAAATGAGCTTTAGATGTATGGGTGTACTGGTTGTCCACTTGGACTATTAGTATGAGTCTGAATGGATCATTACAGTTTGGACATGAACTTTCACTCTTG